AAAAATGACAGTTTAGTTGTTAACCTTTACCGTAAAGACCAGGTTTTCATTCATTCAGGCATTCACTTTTAAAAATATAACAAAATATAATATAAAAGGTAAAAAGCAAAATTGTCACAATGAAGTTGAGCGAGATAAACCTACAGGAAGAAAAGAGCACAAGAGTAGGCACAAAGGAAAGAGACCCACTTGTTTGCACACTCAGGAATCCCATAAAACACTAAGCTAGAAGATATAATCTAAATGCAGAGGACCTAGTACAGAGCCATGTAAGCCCTGTGCATACTGTCTCTATGAGTTCATAAGCTTTGCACACGTGGGAGTGGAGGGCCTCATTTTCTCCATTCCCTCTGGCACTTAAACTCTTTCTGCTTCCTCTTATGCAGGGGTCCCTGAGCTGTGAGAGAAGGTAATTGTTGAGGACATCCTATTTAGCCTGAGCATTCCAAGGTTCCTCATGCTTCATCCTATCATAGTGAAAATGTTCATTGTGGCTTTCTTTATAGTAGACAGACATTGGAAACAACCTAGATACTCTTCAACAGTAGAATGGATAAAGAAACTGTGGTATATTTTCCACAAAAGATTACTGCTCATCCAATAAAAAGATCAAGAAATGTGCAGGCAAATGGATAGAACTAGAAAAAAATTATTCTGAGTAAGGAATCTCAGATTTCAAAAGACAAATATTCAACCATTATTATAGCAGCTTTCCTTTGCCAGAGATGGGAACAAATATAGAAACTCACAACCAGAAATTAAGCAGAAAATGAGAACGCAAAGAACATAGAATGAGAGACCATGGAACATAAACTTTTTTTTTTTTTTTTTTTTGCCTTACAAATTTTATTTCCTTGGGTATCTTTTTAAAAAATTAATTACAGTTTATTCACTTTGTTTCCCAGCTATAGCCCCCTCCCTTTTCCCCTCCCAATACTACCTTCCTTCCCTCTTCTCCTCTCATGCCCCTCCCCCAGTCCACTGATAGGGGAGGTGCTCCTTTTCTTCCATCTACCCAAACCTATCAGGTCTGATTAGGACTGGCTGCATTGTCTTTCCTGTGGCCTGGTAAGGCTGTTCCCCCTTCAGGGGAATCAAAGAGCCAGCCCCTGAGTTCATGTCAGAGCCAGCTCCTGTTCCCATTACTAAGGCAACCCACTTGGACATGAGCTGCAGCGGGCTACATCTGTGCAGGGGTTGTAGGTTATTTCCATTCATGGGCCTTGGTTGGAGCATCAGACTCAGAAAAGACCCGTGTGGCCAGATATTTTGGTTCTGTTGTTCTCCTTGTGGAGCTCCTGTCTTCTCCATGTCTTACAATCTCCCCCTTCTTTCATAAGATCCCCTGCAATTTGCCCAATGTTTGGCTAGGAGTCTCAGCCTCTGCTTTGATACCCTGCTAGGAAGTCTTTCAGAGGCCCTCTGAAAGGCCCTCTATGGTAAGCTCCTGTCCTGTTCCCTGTTTTCTCCCTCTTCTGATGTCAATCCAATTTGCCTTTCTGAATGAAGATTGAACATCTTATCCAGGGTCCACCTTCTTCTTTAGCTTTATTAGATATACAGATTTTAGTATGATTATCTTATTTATATGTCTAATATCCACTTATAAGTGAGTATATACCATGTGTGTCTTTCTGCTTATGGGATACCTCACTCAGGATGATCTTTTCTAATTCCCACCACTTGCCTGCAAAATTCATGATTTCCTTGTTTTTAATTTCGGAGTATATTCCATTGTATAAATGTACCACAGTTTCTGTATATATTCCTCAGTTGACGGACATCTGGGTTTTTGCAGATTCTGGCTATTGCAAATAAAGCTGCTAAGAACATGGCTGAACAAATGTCCTTGTTGTGTACTTAAGCATATTTTGGGTATATACCTAGGAGTGGTATAGCTGGATCTTGAGGAAGCACTATACGTAATTGTCTGAGAAAGCTCTAGATTGATTTCCAAAGTGGTTGTACAAGTTTACATTCCTATCAGCAATGTAGGAGGATTCCCCTTTCCCCACATCCTCCTCAGCATGTGTTGTCACTTGAGTTTTTGATCTTAGCCATTCTGATGTGTGTAAGGTGAAATCTCAGGGTCGTTTTGATTTGCATTTCCCTGATAGCTAGGGATGTTGAGCATTTCTTTAAGTGTTTCTCTGCCATTTGATATCCCTCTATTGAGAATTCTCTGTTTAGCTCTGTACCCCACTTTTTAATTGGATTACTTGTTTTGTTGCTGTTTAACTTCTTGAGTTCTTTATATATTCTGGATATTAGCCCTCTGTCAGATATAGGGTTGGTGAAGACACTTTCCCAATATGTAGGCTTTGTTTTTTTTTTTTTTTTTTCTCCTGTCAGTGTCCTTTGCTTTACAGAAGCTTTTCAGTTTTATGAGGTCCCATTGATTGATTGTTGATCTTAGAGCCTGTGCTGTTGGTGTTCTGTTCAGGAAGTTGTCTCCTGTGCTGATGAGTTCGAGGTTTTTCCCCACTTTTTCTTCTAACAGGTTTAGTGTGTCTGGTTTTATATTGAGGTCTTTGATCCACTTGGACTTTAGTTTTGTGCAGGGTAATAAGTATGGATCTCTTTGCATTTTTATACATGTAGACATCCAGTTAGACCCACACAATTTGTTGAAGATGCTATCTTTTTTCCATTGTATGGTTTTGGCATCTTTGTCAAAAATCAGATGTCCACGAGTGTGTGGATTTATTTCAGTGTCTTCTATTCAATTCCACTGATTCACCATTCTTTTCCTAGTCCAGTACTATGCAGCATTTTCTACTTTTGGTCTACAGTACAGCTTGAGATCAGGGACAGAGATACCTGAAGAAGGTCTTTTATTGTAGAAGATTGTTTTAGTGATTCTGGGTTTCTTGTAATTACATATGAAGTTGAGAATTTCTTTCAAGGTCTGTAAAGAATTGTGTTGGTATTTTGTTGGGAATTGCATTGAATCCATAGATTGCTTTTGGTAAGATGGCCATTTTTACTATGTTTATCCTGCCAAGCCATGAGCATGGGAGATCTTTCCATCTTCTGGTATCTTTCTCAATTTTTTTTTTTCTTCAGAGACTGGAAGTTTTGTTTTGTTTTTTTCATACAAGTCTTTGGCTTGTTTGGTTAGGGTCACAGCAAGGTACTTTATGTCCTTTGTGGCTATTCTGAAGGATGCTGATTCCCTAGTTTTTTTCTCAGCCCATTTGCCTTTTGTATACAGGAGGGCTACTGATTTTTTGAGTTAATATTTGTACCCATGTATACGCAGCAGCAATAACAGGACACCAGGAGTTTTGACAATTGTATTAATGCTTCTCAGGGGACATGCAGTTATAGATGCAGTGGTTGGTACTGATAGAGGTGAGGATCTCATAACAACAGGGGTGAGTAGGCCTGGATATTATCAGTTCAGATACCTTCGTAGGTTAGGGATGCTACTGAGTCACTTCAAATAGGAAAATAATGCTACAAATAATTCCGATTTCCAAATATAGTTGGATTAGAAATCATTGTCTAAGAATGAATGAAGTTTTAGCATTTAAAAAACTAAAATTAAGTATAATTGCATAATTTGCAGCTTACATTTCCTCCCTGAAACTGAACTCAATTCACATATTTCTCCTTATTCCCTTCAATGTATGTATGTATGTATGTACGTATGTATGTATGTGTATATGTAGATATATGTAATTTTTTTATAATTTTGTGCTGCTTGTATGTATATTATTCCAGGACTGACCACTTATATCAGGTATTCAAATAAGAGGTTCATACCTCGCTTGACTTTCCTAAAGTTTAGCTGAAGTTCAAATTTCTTTTTTTTTTTTTTACATTTAATTATTATGGATACTTTGTTTTTATTGATTCATCATTTTTTTTTGTAGTTGATAATAATCTTTGCATTTACTTTTATCACACATATTTATAAACAGTAAAATGTGAAGATATTCTTCCATTGCTACATATCACTTACTATTTCTAAGAATAGTAAAAGTATCTAACATTATAAGTCATATTCATGTTATAATTTTGAAGTTCAAATTCTTAAGCTTTGGAACAATATGTAGTGTAGATATTAACATTGCTCTCCAATACACAGATTATTTTTTTTGTAAAAAGCAGTAAATGGACTTCTATAAAGTTAATGAAAATACACCAATTTAATTTACACCGAGGAAACGGAATTTTTGTATAGACTTCACACAATTAAAACCCTTGGCTGAAATACAGTGTATTGACTACTCCTTAGAAATGTTACTGCAAAGTTTCTTCTTTTATCATTCCATTATCATCACTTCTTGGAAACTTTCATGACCTTTTGAATATAACTACACTCAAATTTTATTACTGAACTACTATATTTAAAGTCTTAAGGACTATCTCAACTCATATATTAAAGGTGACAATCTGAGCACAGGAGTCTTGTCTGAGACCAATTCTCCAACCAAGGACCATGCATGGATATAACCTAGAAACCCTGCTCAGAGATAACCCATGGCAGCTCAGTATCCAAGTGGATTCCCTAGCAAGGAGAACAGGAACTGTCTCTGACATGAGCTCAGTGGCTAGCGCTCTTTGACCTCCCCACCCCCAGTGGGAGGAACAACCTAGCTAGGCCATAGAGGAGGACATTGTAGCCAGTCTTGGTGAGACCTGATAAGCTAGGGTCTGATGGAAGGGGAGGACTTAGAGAGGGGAGGGAGGATATGAGGAAGGGAGGGTAGGATTGGAAGGGAATGAGGGAAGGGGTGACAGCTGAGATACAAAGTAAATAAACTGTAATTAATATAAAAAATTAAAAAAGAAAAATACTTCCATTTTATCAGTATTGAAAATTAACAAAGATAAGTAACCTTTGTAACATACCCAACAATATTTATTCTAACTTAACATGAGGCTTATCCAAAGTGTAAGTCATAGTTAACTTTAATTTTAAAATACTTTAGAGTATAACCTTTAGATTACATTGCTCACAGAGGGACTAGTTATCTACTTGTACTATTGATTTATAGATTTTTTTCCAACCATCTTATATACTTCTCTTTTATTCTCAAACCTATTTGTAAATAAAAGGGTGCTGTGGCAAATGATATGGCTCCATGGATTCCATCCTCTATGTGGTCATGAGTGACTGGAACTCCATTATTTCTGAGTCGAGTGACATAAATGAGTCCATCATCTCGTAGGATGTCATGTTCACATGTGACAATGTAAGTGGAAGGCAATCTCTGTAACTGGGAATCATTGACTAACAAAGGCGATACTCTACTATCCACAAGTCCTGGATGGGAAGCATTCAGTTTTCCAAGAACTGGTTCAGTGTACACATAGTTCTTTTTATACTTCTCAGGAAGGAAGTCACTCCAGTTAACAAACTTGAGCAGATGTCTTGATTCTTCAGGCAAATGATTATTTTTGAGTATTGTCTTGGTCAATTCTTTATCATCTGATAAATATAGACATGACAACATAATTGCTACCTTCCGAGACAGAAAGGGACCATGTTCATACTCTTGATAAGATGGCATTAAGGTATCAATTGCCTGTAGTGCAGGGTATAGCAAGGTTTGTGCCTTAATTTTGTTTTTGTATTCTGGATCATCCTGTAGCTGTAAATAAAATATATAATGAATGACAATGAGTCAATAGCTTTTAAACAAAAGGATTGGTAACCCTTTTTAACAACCCAGGTAAATAAATTTACAAAACCCAAAGTATCTAATGATTACTCTCATAAGAATTGCTCATTGTTTGAAACATTGCAACTCCATTCCATCATCTCCGATGAGAAGATCGGGCACACTCTCCTGCTCACACAAGTTCATTCACACATGGCAATCAAAGGGGGCCATGATCTGAAGAGCCCTTCTGACGATGACAGAAAGGCTATGTTTAAAGATATTTTTTTAGTTTTGAGTGACAAGTCATTTTTATTTATCTAGAACATACTGCCTGCACATAAGCATGTGTCATCATGCCCAGCTTGCTTACAACAGTTTTTGACATACAGTAATCTAAAGGAGCAGCCAACATGAATATGATATAATATCATGTCATAAAACCCATTCAAATGGACACAAACACTTGTTGTTACATGTTGATAACAATACTATCATATGTTTTCCCTTTATCTATTAGTATTCTAGCATGATGAAAAAGGCAAAGAATAATTTATGAAAATCAGAAGAGGAGAAGAAGACAGTAGGTCATTTTGCATGTAATTCTTCTTTATCAGAATTGGGAAGTGCCCTGAGCTGGCAGCTCTAAGGAAACTCTATTTCTAGTTCTGCTCACGTCAGGAGAAAGCCTCCAGTGGGCGCCAAAGAGCCCCTACTTAGGCAATACACATGCTCCCACAGCAGTGCCATATCCACAGGCGTACCTGCAGCCCCCACCAGGAAGTTCAGGATTTGTTTAGGTCAAGGACACACCCTCATCAAAGAAGCCAATTTATATTGAATGAGAGGAATAGCTGAAATATCCACAGCACATCACAAGAAAAAGGATCTGACCAACTCCAAAATGCACACAATGGGCTTAAAGTCTGGCAAATTAATAAAGAAAACGAAGAAAGAATTTTTCATAAGAAAATCTTGTCAGGCTCTGGGTCCTTCCCAGGCACTTTAAGCTTGTAATTTTCCAAATAAAATGCAGTGTCTGAGAAAGATCCAATAAGTAGCAGTGAGCACAACAGTAAGACTGAGGCCAAGGCAAGTAATAGCTTTTCCTTGTGTAAACAGGCATGGTTCCCGATTGAATCAACACCTGCTGTTTGTACTTGAGGAAGAGGAAGATTGCACTTCAGATCAAGCTTTTTTAGGGTTCATTGAGATATAGAAGAAAATCATGAATTAAGTGAAATGTGAGCCTGGGAAGATGGTCTCGGTAAAATCTTTGCTGGAACAAGCCTAAGGGCTGCAACCTGAAATCAGGCTTGGGCATGGCGGGACCCTCCCCTAGTGCTAGACTGGAGAAAGGAACATCTGAGCTTACTTGTCATTTAATGTAATAGTTGATCCTTGTGAGCCCCCCCCCCCAGGATAAATGAAAGCTCTTGGGCTAAAAATCATAATTTTAAAGTCCAAACTGGCTTACCTAGCAAGTTCCAGGCCAATAAATGTTACATAGTAAGATCCTATCTCAAAAAGAGAAAAAAAAACAAAACAAAACAAAACAAAAACAAAACAAAAAACAAACAACAGAACAAAGCAAATTGCAAAGGAAATGAGGGAATATCTGACTTCCACACGCTTAAACACACATTTGTACATGCAAGGGCAAACGCACATACACACATGAATATGGATCCACACAGACACCAAAAACAACAAAAAGAGGGAACTAAATTAAGAGCTGAACGTATAGCTCTTGATGGAATGCACACACCCATCATGCAATAGTAATAGTGTAATAGTTGTAATAGTGACATAATCTGTGCTCAGTTCCTCCCCTCTGCTAAGTTTAAAATACTTATCTAAGTGCAAGCCACAAACACCAGTGATTCTGCATGTAAGACAAAATACTTTCATTGGTATGTATATGGCTGTTGTGGGGTGGGGGAACATGTATGGGCAGTTAAAGGGCATGCCTTGAAAAGTATTAGTACCAGAGTTTGGTTCTTCAGACTCCATTTACATGACAAGGAGGTATGCCTGAAGTTTGCAATTCCAGCCAGAGAATGCAGAAATGGCATCACTAAAGCAAACTGGCTAGCAAGCAAGAACAGCCATGTCAGTGAAATCTGAGTTTGACCGAGAGACCTTTTCTCAAAAATAAGGTGGCTGCATCATGGAGGATGCTTTCAAATATCAACCTCAGGCCTCCACCGAGCATATAGGAATACAAATGCAAACATATCCATAAATACATATAGAAACGCCAAACACACACACACACACACACACACACACATTTTAAAGAGTACTATATATAACAAGCATAAATTGGTATTTTACAATGTCTGTTCAGGGCTCTTCAGGATGCTGAAAATCATCGTGTATTGTTCTGATGACTCACTGCACTTTTATAGACTCACCTTGCCCTTCTCTACTTCTCCCAAGAACCTCACAATACACCTTGAGTCCCGGAAGCAGCACACAAGCCATCTTACATTAAAAAAAAAACCTGACACCCGTGGTAAATAGCCAATCTCTCAAGAGCGAAAAGACTAAAGAGCCGATCAGCTGGTTTTTAAAAGATTAAATTTGAGAGCCTGTGGCATGTTAGTTTTGAGTTCTGGCTTCATAACATATAAACGTTGTACATTGGGCTAGATACTCTCTCCTGCCAAGGGTTAGGTTCCTGTTTTCAAGGTGGGGATTATATCAGTAAATATAATGTAAAGTTTTTTAAATTTACAATTTTATTTTGGGGATATTTCACTAAGAGTGCTAGATATCATTGGCACACATTCCCCTTTTTCAGCTCCTCTCATGTCTTCTTACCACTGCCTCAGAGTTTATAACCTCTTCTCCTTTAATTACATTACTTTTCTAAAAGACATTTTAGTTTGAGCAGAGAAACAATCAACCTAACTCCATATTTTTGGGAAGGACACAGGTCGAGTTTCATGAGGGTTATCAGGGGAAGAAGTATGATAATATTAAATTAATATAAGAATATGAATTAAAAACCCTAGTTTAAAAAATACTCAAGGATACAAAAGGCTACACTGTAATACTTGGATACCTTAGCAATTTTACAAGTGGAACAGAACAGATCCTATATAGTCATATGTAAGTTTAAAAGTGTAATACATCTTACAAGATAATTTTATCAAATTTCTAAAACAGAAACTCTTTTTATACCTACTTCTGCCTTCTGGGTGCTGGGATTATAGGCATGTGCTACCACCTCCTGACTTTTAAATTTTTCTTAATGAAAAAAAAAAGTAGAAAGGAAAGAAGAGAGAAAGAAAGAAATAGGAAAAGAAAGAAAATTTTAAGAGAAAAATCATCTGATGAAGTTGGGGGTGTCTTCAAGATTCAGCTCTAGTGAAGCTCAGTATCTTTGGTCAACCAATAACATTATGAATGAAAAAATATTCTTCAAAATTAATTAGCAAATGCTATTAATAGGTAGATTTTAGAATAACTAAAATCTCATATTCTTTTTATTTGTTCAGTGAAAAGTATTATAATTTTCTGTTAATGACAGACATGTTTTCAAGCTGAAGAAATGGTTCAGCAGTTACGAGCACTTGCGGCTTTTACAGAGGACTCAAGTTCGAGTCCCAGCACCTACGTGGTAGCTCAAAACTGTCCATAACTCCAGTTTCTGCAGAGTCAAGTGCCATCTTCTGGCCTCTGCAAGCATCGCATGCACACGGTGCACAGACACATGCAGGCAAAAATCTCATTCATGCACATAAAAATAATCAAGCTAAGTAAAAATTTAAAAAAATGAAAACACAGAGATGTTGTATTTATGTGTGTAAAAAAAGCAAGATCAGTTCAAATGTGGTTAGGCACTTCCTGTGAAAATGAATTGAGGTACACCCATCTGAGATTTCTAGTGTCTATGAAGACTGTTAGACTCACTTAGCAAATATGCGTCAGTCCTTAAACATCATTAAGTTTAATTTCACAAAGTCTCACCCCTCTCAAGGATCTATGAGTAGTTGCTGGCTGTTGGGAACAGAGGAGACAGTTTTCTTTAAGGATGTGGCTACTGTTGGCTGGTCCACCCTCCAGCAAAGCCCAGACATCCAAGAACGTATGGGCAGCACAAACTGTCCTTGATGGATGCCCTGATTAGTTTTTGTTATTCAGCACAAACTAGAGTTATATGAGAAGAGAGAGCTCTTTGGAAAAGGCCTCGGTAGGACTGGCTGCAGTAACCCTGGAAAGTATTCTTCCTTAACTCGTGATTGATGTGGAGGACTCATCCCATTCTGGGCAGGAGAGATCCTGGGTTGGTGGTCCTGGATGGCATAACAAAGCAAACTAAGCAAGCCAGAATTCTCCCAGAAATTTGAAGATCGCTCCACCAGGACCATTGTGTGATATTTCAAATTAAGAATCACTGGAATGAAACATTTGGTTTCCTGGGACAGTCCACACTGGTTGCTTGGGCTTAAGAATCATTGTGAAGAAGAGACTGGGATCACTGTTGAATCTTCTGGGAAGTGTTTTATGGGGGTCATCAAGTAGAGGTTATGGTCCAGATGAGGCCAGGTTGTGCCTTGTGCCTGCAGTTGAACTTGGTAATATATAGTTTCCTATGTGGTAGTGATTGGTGAAGGAATGAAGGGGTCATGGGGAGCAGTCAAGGCTTGGCAGTAGTGTGAGAGGGCTGGAGAGGCTATTGATGAATGCAAAGCCTCAATGGAAGTAGAAACCCAAGGACTGAAGGAGTCATGGAAGGAGGTCGAGTCTTGGCAACATTGGCAGGGTCAGATTCCCCAAGGAGACCACAGGAAAGGTTTTCTCAGTGAGGGTTCATCCAGTTACAGTGGAGAACACATTTTGGAGATGCCAGTAACACGGGCACAGCAGGAGGAACAGGCTGAGAACATATGACGTGCTAGACGTACTGTGGCAAGCCCTTTGGAGTATACATCATGATCCTTCAGTGTCTGACACTGAGTTTTACTATGCTGAAGGCTTGTTTAACTCTCGTCTGATTGTGACTATGCTCTGATTCTTTCTTCTTGAAATATGAAAGTATTTAACTAAATTATTGTTTTATAGGAGTCCACAATAATAGACTTTGAAATTTTAGAGAGACTGAATGTTCTGCAGTGACTGAACCACTAAAGCCTTAGAATTTGTAAAGATTGTGGAAATTTTAATGTTGGAATGTGTTTAATATTGATGTAATAATATTAATGTAAGAAACTGGGGATTGACAGGAGAGGAAGGGTTAGAGCTGAATAGTAACGTGTTTATGTGTCAAACTGGCAAGTACTCAATTGTCCTGACTGATTTTATTCGGTTTTATTTTGTTTTGAAAATATGACACAAGCTAGATTTAGTTAACAGGAGGGACACCTAGTAAAAAGTGTCCCTGTAAAACTGGCCTATGGGTGAAACATGTAGTATTTTCTAAACAAGGGCTTGATGTGCCCAGCCCATCATGGGAAGTTCTTCCCCTGGACAGGTCATCCTGTATAAGACAAAGAAGCAGACTGTGTGATCCAGGAGGAACAAGTCACTGGGTACTATTCCTTCATGCCCCCTGCTTCATGACTTTTGCTTGTATGTCCTGGAGAATCGTAAGTAAAACAGCCTCACCACTCTGTTCCATGCAGAGAGAAACTCCCACTGCCATGGCTCTTTTGGCACGACATACTGTACCATGTCAAATCCTAAGCCCTAATAGCTAATTTCTTCTATAGCTGTGTCTTGTAAGGTCTTCTAGTCAGAGAGACAGAAAGTAATTAACACACATCAACTTCAGTGGTGTCAATGTCACAAGATATTTTACAATATATCTCAGAAAAACTAATAGTAAAACTTATACTAAACAGTAGTTAATACTCGTTGCTGTATTTTTTTCTTATTTTTTATTTAACATGATAAAGGTAGGCTGAATGCTGTAGTTCTAGTCAAGTACCTGGGGCTCTGGTGTGGAGTGATTGCAAATGCAAGGCATAGCCATATTACACAGAAAGTTCAAGTTCAGTCTGGGATGCTTAACAAGAGACTAGAAAAGAATTTAAAAGGAGGTAATTGCATAGTTCCATGGCAGATCACTTGTTTGGCAAGCCTGCAGCATTGGATTCAATGTCAAGCAAACACACACACACACACACACACACACACACACACACACACACACAGAGACAGAGAGAGAGAGAGAGAGAGAGAGACAGACAGACAGACAGACAGACAGACAGACATTTTGTAATATTACAGTACAAACACCATTCAAATACAGCAAATAAAACATTTCTTTTGTGTTAGGACTAAACTGTGCTGGTTTCAAAAATAAGTGACACATACAACATACCAGTTGAGTCACCACTGCTGTCAAGGCACCCCCAGAACTGTCTCCTGAAATACAGACGCGAGCGGGATCCACTCCATACTGTGCAAGAACTTTTTCCTGGAGAAAGAACTTGACCAAAGAAATACAGTCTTCAAGGGCAGCTGGGAATGGATACTGAGGCGCAAGTCTGTAGCTTAAGAGATAAATCAAGCAAAAAAAAAAAAAAAAAAAAAAAAAAAAAAAAAAAAAAAAAAAACAAAAACAAAAACAAACAAACAAAAAACCCAAAGAATTTATGATTAAGCTTATGTATTCTTCAATTATCTCTCAATTTTCTTAGCGAACACAAACACACACAAACACACGCCCGCACACATGTACAGACACACATGCTCTACAATGAATCTTTACTCTCATCAAGTAAGCCTGGGCCTACTAATAACTTCTTTTTTAAAACAAGAAGTAGATTCTGATTTAATGGGTTAGGGTATTGTTTCTATGGGAAGAAGAGTGACATAGGTTGTGTCTTCACCCTCATAAACTCTGTAAGCTTCACTGGGCCCTCAGTAGAATTAGTGACTCAAAAGCATTTCACAATCCTTGATTAGATAATTCAAGAAATTTAAAATAAGTAAATCTGAGAGCAAAGTATTTGTAGTTGCCTTTCATTAGAAATTGATTTAGATCAAAATTTCACAGAATTGTAGAATTTCATTTAATAAACATGAAGATTTGAATTAAAATCAAAAGTTTGTTGTATGACTATAAAAGGTATATCAATATTTATTAGTAAAATACTATGATTCTTAAGACAAAATACTATCATTTTTTTACTCTCTCCCTGCTCACCCACCTCTCAATGTGTGTTTTCATTGTACTTATAGTTCTATAATAATCAATATTATTCAGACAGTTCTTGTGAATTTTTAAATTATATGTTGTGTCTAAGTGTTTCAAAATAGCATAATATAAACCAAGAAACATCAAGATAAGGTTATATTTCATAGTAAAGAATAAAAATTGCCTAAAATAACTATAAATAGATTAAAGTAGATATAACCTATTGCACTTCTCTTAAAATATTTGAAGTATGTGTTAAAGTTGGTTAAATCATAGTGAGAAAGGCAAACTGTCATCACAATTTTGAAATTTCTCAAACATAAATAATTCTGTTTGCTTTAAAGAGATAGTTGTGAAAGGACAGTGTTGAACTTGCTAGTTTTTGCTACATTACACTATTTTATTGTCAGTCAAAATACCTCACAGAGTTTCAGCACAAATCTGCAGTATTGTATATGAATTTCTGTCCTATAAAATTGACATGAAAAAGCTAAATTTTTCCAGCCCCATGATGGGTTTGAGAAGTACAGATTACACTCAGTATGTCATAAAGTAATAAGCATATATTTAACTTTCAGGTATATTGTTGGACATTTGACCCAAAGTCATAAAATACTAAGAGCTGTAAAGATTCTTGAAATGTTTGAATGGTCCCAGCATTGGTACTAATATTACTGGACCCAAGAATAATTTTATCACAAGATATTTTTTTATGTCAAATAAAGCCCAACACCTTTCAAACCTGATGGGTATACATTGTAGGCAATAACCTGGGCAGGCTTTTTATTCCTAGATGCTTATTCCTTTTTATTGCACAGGTATCTACCATGGCAGAGATGAAAGCAAAATGGACCTTGTTGAGGACATATTAATATTATAATGCTAAGAAAAACATAACTCCAAACTTCCTGGCAGTAATCCAGCTACCACTGAGGACTGTGTGACTATAAACCAAGCTCATGCTGGGAGCACAAGGACCACAGAAACAAAAATTGATTATCTTACTCTGGTGCCACAACAACAGCATCAAGTTTGTTGGCTGTCTCTCGGTTCAGGGAATCAAAGGAGTGCATCTCTAAAATGAAAGCAATAAGTGGAAAACAGAGCTGTATAAATGCCATATCCATTAAAATGGCTTTAAATCAGAACTCTAGAAGTAAGCTGATGATAATATTATAAGAGTCATAAATTCAGATAGTCACCATAATTAATCTTTAAAGATCTTTTAGAGTTCTTCTACTGTTTAATAAAGGTACTTTAATTTACTAAATATACTTCTTGTGGTTATTTTAGAAAGTAAGCACTTTCCTTTGTGAGAAAAGAGGACTTTCAAATAAAGTCATTCATATTTAATACATTTACAAATAAACTTTTTTTATAATGTACATATTTATTTCATAATTACATAGCATAATAGCATTTAGATCTCCAAACTTTCATCTTTTTTTCATAAAATATGAAATAAATGTGTTTCCTTAGGGTATTGCACTGTATTAACCCATACTTACATGGATGGATATCACACGTGATTTTTCTAGTGTTTCACTACCACTTAGTTTTCATTAATAGGCACTTAAAATCTTGCTAAAATTTCCCTAAAGACCTACTACTGTTTATAACATTTTAGAAATAATTTGTTTATAAGTGGAAATTAACAGGGCTTCTTAATTTGAGAAATATATAGAAATATCTTTCCAACTTAAAATTAAAACAATACCAAAACTTGAAATCAGAAATACGAAAATGCAACTTTAAGTTTCTTTAAGAAGACTTTTTTTTTTTTAAAGATTCTTATTCTATAGGTATCTGATAACATCTTCCAAAACTGTCTCCCTTTACATCTTAACATTGATGAACCTTCAAATAATTGGCTGACATCAATGACCACACCGAATCTTTCACATATTTAACTGCTACAGAACCTAAGTCAATATGTCCTGCAGGGTTGACTGGGTTTAAGTAGAAAGATTGACATCTATCAATATCTCATCTTTCACTTTGGGTGTTATTTCAGTGGCAGGGGAAAGAACAGCAATGTATGAGAAGGAGAAAAAACCCAAGAGGTTTCCAACTACTATCTACTCATTTGCAGGAAATCTGTCTCTTAGGGAGATGGTTCATCATCAAGAGCTAAATAGTATGGACTTCATGTTTTCATCTTATAGCATCTTTAAAACACAAAATATACTACTTGATTCTTACTTTATAGATGAGAGAGCTAAAACTAAGACAAAACTTGTTTAAAGAAAAGATTCAAAACTTTAGTGGAGGTCCTTGACTTTAAAAGAGACGTCATTATTCCTCTGCTTATTGCCTGAGCTTTTCAGAAAGTGGACAATAAAATCATTAATAAGTAATGCATGCATCTTTTTTTTTTCTTTTTTTTTTAGTTTTCTTTTTTATTTTATTTTTTTATTAATTACACTTTATTCATTTTGATACAAAACAAATAAACTTTAAGTTACTTTTTTGAACATAAGTGAGCGTTTTAATGTAGTTAAAAATATATCACTATGTTCTCACCTGTGTAATTTCTTACAGAAATTAACTATGGTTTGAATCTAGTGATAATACAAAGAGGTGGGAACAAAAACAGGTAAATTTATTATGATTAGAATCTTAATAGAAAACTGATAAATTTTATCAACAAAACCCAATTCACTGTTGTTTAGCATCTCTAGGACCATGGGAAGATGTTTAATCCTCATTCAGAGGAGCAAATGGGATAGACATCAGAAGTATGAGAAAACAGGGAACAGGACAGGCGCCTTCCACTCAGGGTATCAAAGCAGATGCTGAGACCATAGCCAAACTTTGGGCAGAGTGCAGGGAATCTTATGGAAGAAGGGGGAGAAAGAAAGACATGGAGGGGATAAGAGCTCCACCAGGAGATCAACGGGCTAAAAATTCTGGGCCGAGGGGGCCTGCAGAGACTGATACACCAACCAAGGACCATGCATAGAGAGGACCTAGACTCCATGCTCAGATGTAGCCATAGGCAGCTCAGTCCCCATGCAGGTGCCCTAGTAAGGGGGGGACAGGCATAGGCACAGTCATGAACTTGGTTGTCTGTTCTTTGATCAACTCCCCTGGTGAGGTGGCCTTATTAGGTCACAGAGAAAGAGGATCCAGACAGTCCAGATGAGACCTGATAGGCTAGGGTCAGATAGAAGGGGAGGAGGTCCTCCTCTATCAGTGGACTAGGGGAGGGACATGGGGGAGAAGAGGGAGGGAGGATGAGACCATGAGGAGATGACCAAGGGGGCTACAGCCAGGATACAAAGTGAATAAAGTTTAATTAATAATAATAATGATACTAATGACTAAAAAACCCAATTCACCTAAAAAGCACAAAATGGCATTCATTAGATAAAACACAAGCATAATGTCTGCTATCAAATGGTCAAGGAAAAAAGAAAATCATTGCGGTATAACAAGGTCATGGGAATGAATAGAGTTTCAATTTGTGTAATAAATGTAATAGATTTAAAGCATACATTAAAAATATACTTACTGAAGCTTCCTGCAGTAAAGGTGCCACCGTGAATGAAAATTACAGCTGGTCTCTGTCTTTCAGACTTCCTTTTTGGCAAATACAGACGAACAGGAATGTCACTTAACTCTGTGTCAATCACTGTAATGTTTTCATCTGAAACTGGCATTGTGTTTTGAAGTGACATAATCATGAAGAAAATATCTTCAAATTTCATAAGACCCATACTTTCTAATAATGTGGCCTATCAAAACAACATCCAAATATAAACATTAATATTTTTATTTTAGTAACAGTAAATGCACATAAGGATGAAATTGAAAAAAAATAGGTGGCAGGTACTGTGTATAGCACATCCCTTACCACACATTAAGTGGGTATCACAGAAGATGGGAAAGAAAGATAAGAAACGTAGAAGTAGGAGAAGACGGCTGAAGTACAGTGTCTTCAGACATGGCAAGGCAGTTGTACTTATGAACTCACAGATGCTCTCGGTATCTGCATGAGACATGCACATGCCAAAACCAAACAATACATAAGTGTCAATTTGGTGTTTGTAACTTCAGAGTTCCTAACCCTAACCCAGGAGCTATTGGCGCTTCATGGCTCCTGAGGATGGAAGAATCAGGCCTTTAGCCATATGGTCATTGGTAGGTTGTCCTAGTTCCAGTATATAGCTCTACATCAATATACATACTGGCAGCATTAACTGGTTCAGTGAGTTATAAAAAATATTTTTTAGAGGAGACATGATGTTAAGAGAGGCATAAAATAAGGAGTGCCTGGGAGAAGTTGTATGGGAAAGTGCGGTGAATATGATATTTATCACAAATGCACTTCTCTTTATGTATTGAAAACAATAAAAATACCCTCAGTTAAATACAAAGGCAAATAAAATCAGAAAATATTTGTGCCAACTCATTCAAAGAATTATCATTCTTACTTTACTTATATACTTATACTTATATACTTACATGAAAGTACTGCTGCAAATGCTTTACCCACCAAGTCATCTCTGTAGCCTTCAATTCATTTCAATATCAAAATATAATTATTTAATAACTGCATTACTAATAGTCTGTTTCTATTTTTAAGCTACAGAGATGTTTCTTCTCTTTTCCTTAAGGGGATCTCTTTTTATTTCACTAGCTGGAATGAATCTCTCTTTAGTATTTTAACCTTTTTTTCTATTACGTGACTACTAGTTCAACTAAAGGAACTATATTCTTTTTGTTACTAGTGTATTTCAGGAGCATGTGTTAATGTAATTGTCTCAAAATAGAAGAGTACATAATTCTTATTTTGATAAGCTTAGTATCTTTAAACACCTGTTTGTTGGTAACAGTGTTTTAATTCACGTTAGGGAGCCACTATGTCTATTAAAGTATCTTATTAGCCACCAATTTGATAAGGCATTGGCAATTTATTAGTTAAATCAGATGTTATCTCAAGTTATCTTTATCCTGTTGGAGATTTTATACTGAACAGAGTCAAAAATAATGAGAATAGTTAGAGATAATTATCTCTAAATCCTTGTAGAAAGTGGTTATTGTTGATTTTTAAAATTCATATTCACCAATCTTCTTGAACATCTTTAACAAATATACATACATATTCTCTTTTAGTTTGTTCATAATCTGACTCTCAAAACATTGACAAAAATAGTCTATATTCTTACTTGAAATTTAAAAGATACCCGTGTCTTAATTATTTTTTATTTTCTACTGCTGTGATAAAACACTATCACTAAGGTAACTTCCAAAAGAAAGTCCTTAATTTGGTTTAAGGTTTGAGAGGATTAGAGTATGTGATAGCAGAGCAAAGAAACATCTATAAGCTTAGATGTTTTTTTAGAGAGATTTTTATTTTAATTTAGAGTAGTCAGAGTACAAAACTCAGTATGTTTGAGAGAACCAAAGCAGAGAGAAAGCCTTGGGAATCACAAGTCTTTTGAAACCTGTGCCCAGTGACACACCTCCTTCAAAACCTTCCCAAACGTTTCCACCAACTGGGGCTCAAGTATTCAAATACATAATATGCTCTTATGGGAGGTACCACACCACAGTACTCAGAATACCCATGATACATACCATAATTACATGACCCCCCCCCAAAAAAAAAGCAAATGAGAAGACTATCTCACTGAAGGAAATAAAATGAAATTGTCTACATCTGAAGTCAATGATTTTAAAACATCTATTATAATTATGTTCCATGAGGAAAAGATGAATTCTCTGGGCACAAATTAAATAACAGATGTCCTTAAGAAAGTAAGTGCATTAAGAATGACTCAATGAAAAAGTTATAATAGAACTAGAAAAGTATTTATAAAAATACAGTATTTATTAGTTGAATTTGATAATAACATGGAGATGATGAAGAAAGATTCATTGACCCTAAAAATATATCAAAAGAAAATG